AGCACTGCATGCATGTAATTTCTGTTTGTATACAAAATGTATTTAGTAATCCTTTTCTTTTGTTGATAATCGATCTAGTAATTCTTGTTAACAACTAAACTGTCATATGTTTTTGTTTTGTTTTTTTGTGCTCATTGTCAACTGGTAATTCTACTTGGTATCCACACTGTATCCTTTAAATTATTTTTAAGTTTATAATGTATCAGTATGTTAAAAATCTGCATTAACCAAATCTTCAACTTGGGACATTGTTACATTCTAGTGTTTTAGAACTAATATTCTGCCAATTGAGCCCCAGGACTCAGGGCTGAGAAAGATAATCCCATTGTGACTGTTACAGAATCTACCCAGTCAAACAAGGCAAGCCCATAAGAAAACACAATTAGGCAGCTCCAAGCCAGTGATACAGTCACTACACACACACACACACACACAATGCCAGACCAAATGCTAATTCAAAGATGTACTTAAATGGTTTGTTTTACTCAGTACAGATGGTCATTGGTTGTATGTCAGTGGAAGTTTTCCTGACCATGCCTAAATCTAGGACCCTTGACTCACACTAGTGTTTTGATGTCAATTTTCTACCAACTGTGGTATGAGGGTCAACTAAACTGCATACTGATCATTACCACACCCACTCACTCTACAAGTAATTCTTTTTGGTATCTACACTGTCTGCTAGTTCTCCTCCTTATGCCAAAAGGTGGTACACTTGTATCAGAAGCACCAACGTTACCTGGTGTTAGTTTTTGTTGCTTGACTGAGACAGGAATTTATCTGTTATTTCATAAGGTGGTTGCTTTGTGTTCTACTTGATCTTGCATTTGAGAGATACCTTGAAACTATCACATGGAATAGGGATACTTCCACATGTCAGTGCTATTTTCTGGTAATTGGTCTGCTACAGCAAGAACATGCATTGTAAATGCAATTGTGGTGGTGCCAGATAAGATTCATTTCCAAATTTTGACGAAGTTGGTCCATTTTTGATCCGAGAGTCAAAAACCCACTTGTAAATGTCATGTCATTGTCTTAATACTTTTGTGCTTGCTGATCATGTAAATTTTATTTTAAGTTCATTTTAATATCAAGTTCATTTGTTTTTATTTATTTTAATTTCGTTTTTTCAGCTTAAAAGATATGTAACACAATTGTATGTGGAGTATCAAATGAACAGTACTTTGTTGTGTTTGTCAAGCATGTTTGTTTCTTCTTTTCCATGCTTGTTCTTACATTAACATTTCATCCAGCCAAATCTTTGAACATATTTTTATGCATGGGTAATTTACTTGTTCACCTTTATTCCTCTAAACCAGAAGTATTACAGTGTCATCACTTTGAATTATGGTTAGTTTAAGGATTTTTACTTTCTTCAATTCTATCTAAGACCAATATCCCATAGTTCGTCCGTTGTTCTGATTGTAACTTACAACACCTTACATACTGTGTTATGGTCACAAAATGTAACTAAAATATCAAAGGATATAAATATATGTATGGTATTTGAATAATAATTCAGAACAGAAAATAAATATTTTCATAAAATAACCAGTTTATTTTTGCTCTGAAGCATCTTTTGATACCTGGCTAGATGCTCTTCTAACCTTACATGATATGTCATCATTAAAAGGTGAACCTGATGCATATGGTATGGCTAAACCATACAAAAAAATATTATGTAATGTTATTCTTGCCATAATCCACACTTTTTTATGTTCAGTTTCCTACATTTTTTACTTTCATCTTTCTAATTCATGAAAATGGCAAGAAGTATTAAACTATGTTTGACCTACAAAAATAATTACATAAAATGTAACAGTTATTGATGTTCCAACTTTGTTATTGACCATGCTTTATGGATGAAAATTAGAACCCTTCTCTTTTCTCCAAAAAGCAAGAAAATGTTTACTGTTTTCTTGAATTAAAATTATTTTAAAATATATTTAAATGTTGAAATTAGAGCTTAATGTCAGCCAACCCTACATTAGGCTGCATTAGAAACAGGTACAATCTAACCAACAGACCTAATGTACATGATAAAAATTACACTAGACTGTAGATTTTTTGTTTCAAATTCCTCTTAATTAGCTCACTGTGAATTTCAAATTAGAGGTATGTAAAAGATATCATTTTTAATTTGTCTTTTTCTTGCTAAGAAGCCTTTTTGTTTAATACCTAGTTAGACTGGAAATGATAGTAGAAAAAAATCTTTCCAAACCACCATTTTATTTGCACTATGAAACATTGAATGTTGCTATGATATTAAATGTTTCATACTGCATATGAGGTAGAATTTAACTTTTGTTTAGGGAAATTGTAACTTAAACACAATTCAATGTTTCCAGTGGTTGGAACACTTGGGATTTGAATTATGTAGCTCAGATAGTAAGAATATTGGTTTTGGAATACTAATGTGAGCTGAGGATTTTGAGTTCAAATCTGAGTAAAGACAAAGTTAGTTTTCTGGTATGTTATATGAGCACCCAGGTAATACTTATCCACTCTTAACATTTTTCGTAGCTTTTGCTAAATTACACTAATTAAAGATGCATAATCACTATAATCCTCTCAAGTAAACACCTTATCAAGTGAGGGGTGAAGGAAGATTGAAAATCTTTGAGCATCCTGGATGTTTGATAGTTTGATTGTTTGACCATAAAATGCCAAACATCAACCTATTTTCATCTAAACCCCTACAAAGTTGATTTGGATTTATCCACTCTTGAGGCCACCTAAACTGATTAGATGATGAATCAAGCCATCCTTGGTTCAGCAGTTATCTTGGTCTGTTGCATAGATAGAGTTTCTGGTTTTGAAGTTCATGTATGTTGGCAGCTTAAGTAACTTAATAGTGCTGTATGTGTTGGTTTGAGAATGAGCCTTCTTTGAGTAGGGATAGTCACATAACAGTCAGAATGATGAGTTGTCTTTTTGAGATTTGAGCCTTTCACATGGTTAAGGGCATTAGTTTTCTGAGCACTAGTGTGAGTTGAGAGTCTCAGGTTGAAGCTTCTCTCAGAGCAGCTTTCTTAACATGTGGATATGTTTTTACCATGTATCAGAGATATTCCTGTACACTTTGACCAAGTAATAACATCTTCAAAGTCATATCTTACTCTCCCATCCTAGAACAGTACAAGGACAGGTTGCAGAAAAAAAAACTCAGGAGAAGAAATAGAAGTAGATTCCACTCCAAACAAAAAATATTTAAACTTCAGAAGTTACAATTTTACTATCCTCTTTATTTTCTGAATTCAGCCCTCCGATAAATGTATTAAATTTTGATAGTCAGTTATTTTAGTAGTACTACTAAACTTCGTTATTTATGCTACATGTTTAATCCCTTAAATTCTAGTTCATAATTTATTTTGTAACTTGCAACCCTTCAAGGTATTACAGTATCCACATTGTTTGATAGTAACTGAATCTAGTTACTGATAACTGTAATATTAAGCACTTAGTAGGTTTTGTAATATATACACTTTCAGAAAATTAATGGATCTTGTCTTCACAACAACACTGCTGTTAAGAAAGTCTTCTTTTTTTTTTATAACCACACACTCAGTTACTCAGTAGACAGTTTTGTAAATAATGACACTTTCAGTTAGTAATTAGTGTGAATATTATTCAGTAATTTCAGGTTTTCAATTATAATTGCACTAACAGCTAGTTTTATATACATAGTTTTTCTTTTACTGTGTGGAAGAAAGTTCTTATGTTCTATCATTTCTTAGGATGAAAATTTGGCACATGTCTCTGGAAAATGCTGCCCAGAGTGTGTTCAGCAATTTGATTTGTGTTTTGTAGAAGACAGAATCTATAAAGTGAGTGTATTCATCAGTTAATTTTGATTTGTTGAATGTTAAGTTTATTGAGTAAATGTGATCAGAATCATTTTACAAGTTGAGGAAAAAAACTTTTTCAATATGTGTCTGTAAGTATTATTACTGCTTCATTTTTTATTGTCCTTAAGTAATTATGTGATGTAATTCCATTAGAAAATAAGAATATCATATTATAAAACCTGTTTTGTTATTTAGCCAGGAGAGCAGTGGGTTGTAGACAAATGTACTCTTGGAGCATGTTACAATGGACAGATCATACACTTTAAGCATGAGTGCCCATCATGTCCTGTGGGTTCAGCTGCTGTGGAAGTGAAGGGTCAGTGCTGCCCCTTATGCAAGCCAGGTAATAATATTATTATTCTTAAAGTGTAAATTACCTCACTTGGTTAATGAGAAAGCTTTTTACCTGCAGTAAATAAAACATGTTGAACTGTATGTGAAGGAATGTGAGGAAACACATTTTCAGCCAAACATGATGCTTTTTCTGAATTATTTGATATAAATGGCTAATTTTTGCCTCTTTATCTTACTTTTAATAGTTTATAACAGGATTAATTATACTTTTAACGTTTTATTTATAATAATGTTCCCACAGACCCACTACAAGTTTGTTAAGGTTTGTGGTCTTGTTCTTGTTCTGCAAAGCTTTTGTTCTTTCCCACCAAGTGTTCATAATACTACTTTTCAAAATTATTTTTATCAGGTTATTTGCTGTTTTTAAGTTATTTTAATTTTGCCATGTAGATGGTTTTGATGAAATCATATATTTATTCTTTCTTTATGTATGATTTTTAATACTATAATTTATTTCATTGTAAAATATTTTACTGTTTATAATCTATATGCTGGTGCTGTGGTGATAGTATATGCATGTTTTCTCTTTATATACATGTTTTTGTTGTGTTTGTTGTAGTTAAATGTTCTGGAGAGTGCAGTTCTTGTCTTGAAGAAGATCCTAACTACTGTCTTGCTTGCAAAGATCAAAGCAAACTATTGGAGGAAGGATACTGTGTGTTTGCATGTTCTCAAGGTTATTTCCAAGACTCTTTAGGATATTGTCAATGTAAGTTTTAATGACCCTATTTTTAGAGATTTATCATCCACGAATTAGTATTTTGTGACTTTTAGTTTGGAGAAATTTTACTAATTTCAAGAAGAAACTGCAACTATTCTATTTTTTGTTAGTTTTAAAAAATTGCATTCATACACATACAGTCGTTCATTTACTAATGTATTTATTTGTATTATTATTATAAACAGAAACTTAATAAAAAAATATTTAAAAACAAATCTCTTTTCTTCACCATGCAGAAATGTTTTGAACCTTTTTAGGTTTTATTAAAGAATAAAAGGAATTATTATTATTATAACTACATATGTGATAAGGCAAAAACAGTTCAGTTCATTGTTATGCAAATCAGAAATACTGAAATACTGATGATTACTCATTCAGGCTGAGGTATATATAGAGGTTTATCACAGTTTTGTCTCAGTTGTCTCTTTAAAGTAAATCACAGAGTTTTAAATGTTTAAGGCTCATGGCTAGACCTCAAAGAATGTTTCACTTTTATTCAGAATCATTGAACATATTGAAACTGGCCAATCACAGCAAACTGTTATGAATTGGCTATAATCTTCTCAAAGTGTTATTAGCAGAATGTGGAACCACTTCTAAACCAATGGTACAGTTGTTCGACCCCTGGAAAAGGGAGACCATCATTCATAACAGAATTAGACAGTAACTGTCTGTTTGTTCTTCACTGCAACTATAATATCTGCTTTGAGATTAAACTCGTTTTCATGGTTGTAACTGGAAACTATGTCAGAAACAGACTTCACAAAGCCAGCATATGTTCCAGACACCCAGTGAAGTACATTCTTCTTGCAGCAAGGCACAAAATAATTAGCTAGGAGCAATTGTCAACCATGCATCTTTTGATAATGCAATGTACACTTCATTACATCAATAACAACTGCTTCATATGTGTTGTTTAAGATGCAGTAGAATAATACTTTAAGCTTTACAATGAATTAATTTTCCTTGCACAAGATACATTTGTAAGTATAACTTTATAGTATTGAGTTGTGCAGAGCCATGTAACCATTTCTGGTCTTTTTATCATTCTGCCTTCCCTTTCCTTCTGTTCTACTTTTACTTTTCTTTCACTTACAGTTCCTAGTTTGGAAGTAACACGTATATGAATTTGAAGACAAGAATAAAAATAGAAGGCTATAATAACAGCAAACACAAACTACAATTTAATTTTTACACTAAGCTAGGAATGGAAATGCTACTGGAGCATAGTTGTTCTGTGGTACAGTACCCAACATCTGTTACACTTTAATCTATAGGTTGTTCTGTGGTAAAGTACCCAACATCTGTTACACTTTAATCTATAGGTTGTTCTGTGGTAAAGTACCCAACATCTGTTACACTTTAATCTATAGGTTGTTCTGTGGTATAGTACCCAACATCTGTTACACTTTAATCTATAGGTTGTTCTGTGGTACAGTACCCAACATCTGTTACACTTTAATCTATAGGTTGTTCTGTGGTACAGTACCCAACATCTGTTACACTTTAATCTATAGGTTGTTCTGTGGTACAGTACCCAACATCTGTTACACTTTAATCTATAGGTTGTTCTGTGGTAATTTACTCCAAAACATGCTACACTTTAATCTACAGGTTGTTTGACATATAACAAATGACACTAAAGTCTGTTTAATTTGTAACACTTCAGGGTCCATTGAGCTTATGACATGTGAAGCAATATTTGTTTTATCCTTCAACTAGATAACCTATTTGGAACAAGATCCAATTCCATTTCCACACAGGAATGTTATACATCTATCAATGGTGAATGCACTGACTCTACATCTTGTGAAGTGTTGAAATGTAACCATTAATGCCACATGTTACAGATAACAGTCCTGTAACTATTTGTACTGCTGGTGCAATTGGCCTAGCTTCATCCTAATGGATGATAGTGCTGGCATGCCCCCATCATGTTAAATTAATTGACATGTTCGTTGACCAAATGTTGTGTTTCATGTGCTCACTGGACTTCAAACTCATTAAACATGTATGGCATGCTTTGGGAGGTGCACTTGCAACATATCAAGTTACTGAAGACACTAAATATATTCTGTAAATGGCTTTTAAAAAGGATTGGTTGAGAATATCGTGGGACCTTATGAACATCGATTTTAAGTATACATCAGTGACAGGTTGCCCTTGCTCTTTATGATAGCTATACCATTTATTGATGTCTGATTTTTACATAAAAAATACTGAGGGGATGATTGTTTTGTGTAATATATTACACTAATTACTTATTTAGTGTATTATACAATATTCAGCATGTCATACCAGTTGTCACGAATGTTTTGGCGAAGGAGAAGACCAGTGTTTAACCTGCCAGTCAGGACTGATATTCAAAGCCAGACACTGTGTAACTAGAGAAGAATGTGGACCATCCCATACAATTAGTAATGGAGTTTGTATTGGTAAGACATTTTGAATTTGTGTAATCATAGGTGTAGAGAAGGGTCCTTTGTAATAATTTCTCTAATTTTTTTAGTAAAGGTCATTGCCTTTTTGCATGTATAATATGGAATTTTTTGGTTATAGTGGATTTTGATGACATATTTGTAATTTTTTTTTCTCCTTTGACAGGGAACAAAAGTCATAGCACAGTTTATAATTTAAAAAAGAATATTTATAAAATAAGTTCATGTTTATAAAAGTTTAAGTTTCAGAAAGTAAAAAGATTTCTTTTCTAGCTTGCCATTCATCTTGCAAGAACTGTCGTGGACCTTCTGAATATGATTGTCTCTCGTGTTTCCACAATAGTTATTTACTCATGAATGGACAGTGTGTTGAAAAATGTAATCAAGGATTTTATGTGGAAGGTGGACATTGTCAAGGTAATGTTCAATAAATTTAACTAAAATCTATGGTTTGAATATTTCTTACCCTAGTAGTTCTAATTGTGAAAGATGTTGCTTTAATGAGTTGAACTAAGTGCTAAGGAGATAGTTTTTCTGTGGTTTCTCAGCCAAGACTTAATTCCAGAAATTTCCTGTAGTGTTAAGTATGGTTTTTAGTCAAGGCTTAATTCCCAGAAATTTTGTCTGTGATAATTTTTTTTTTCCGGTCTGATTTAACTCCTCAAAGTTCCTTCAGTCTTGTGAGGCCTTCTGAACTTGATTTCACTGTTATATATGGTTTTTAGTGAATATCTTCTGGAACTATATTTTGAATTTAAAAAGTTTGTTGAAACTAAACAGTAACTTATATGTTGTTTACCCTATGGTTGTTTAATAGAAGGTAAGAAAAGTTTTAGGAGCATTGATCTGAGTATTACTCATTAATCTATATTTTGCAGGTATATTACCTTCAAAAGAACAAAAGATGTTGATATAATTTAAAAAGACTATTTTTAGAATAATCTACCAATTATTTAAGTGATAACCAATTTTAGATCTTGCATTACTTGCTTGTAGGAGGTGAAAAACATATAAGATTACAACCAATCAACATATACCAATAATATCGAGTCACTTCTTGTTTCTCTCTCTCTCCCTTTGTTAAGTATGAACATAACATTTGAATTTCTATAGATTTATAGATTTCTGTTTTTTGATGTTGCCAGAGCCATATTTTACACTAATAGTGTAATTTTAGTCTTTAGGCATTAATTCTATTAATATTTGTAACGTGTAGCTTGTGAAAGTGACTGTGAAAGTTGCTACAAAGACAAACCTTATTGCCGATCTTGCAAAAATGGCAAATTTCTTCAAGAAGAACACTGTGTGGATATGTGCAGTCGTGGAATGTATTCTACTAAACAGGGGTACTGCATTCGTAAGTAGTGTTTTATCAAGTATGTGTAAGGCGACTTTATAGTAATGCAGTCTGAGAATGGTTACTCCCTATGATTCTTTTTTGTGTAGTATACAAGTATAGTGTTCTTAATGGCTGTTACAGGGTTAAAATTATACTTGTGTAGCTTGAGTAGCGATTTTAACAATAAAAAATCATAATAATATTTAAAACTTAGAGTAGATGGTAGTAAGATAATTTCATTGATATTTAATTTAAAATAAATGCTTTTTATACAACTTTTACAATGTGTTAGTTCCTTAATAATGTAACACACAATATTTTCTTCAGTATATTTTGAGAACCATTTTTTATTTGAATTTAAGTTACAGTAATTGCCTGATTTTGTTGTTAGCATGTCACCCCTTGTGTGGAGATTGTGCGGGTCCTTTTTCAACTAATTGTACCAGCTGTTACTATGGTAGATTCCTCCGTGAACAATCATGTGTAGAGGAATGTGGGCCAGGATATTACAAAGACACTGATTCTAACACTTGTCAAGGCTAGTATTTATTTTCTCAGTCTCAGATTAATTTGTTTGTAGTTAAAAATGATAAATTTATGCTTTTTAAAGCACTTTTATAAAAATAAGCTAACTTCAAACTTTGTTTTTAGTAGTAAACATGCAAGATTTACAGGAACTAACTATTTTACAGCTTGTCACCCAACTTGTCGGTACTGTGCTGGAGGCCGAGCTTTAGATCAGTGCTTATCATGCAGCACTGGACATCTGGTTACATACCCTGGTGTTTCCTATGGATACTGTTTGGATGACTGTCCTGACAAGTATTTTCTGTCCTATGAAGGAAAGTGTGAATGTATGTATTTAGATTTGAGTTATTTAGTATAAACTTATGGTTTTTGTTTTAAAATTTCAAGAGATAGTTATTTATTAGGCTTTTTATGAACTTTTTAATCAACTGTGGCTTGAAAAACAATAATTTTCAATACAATATTAAGTAATAAAAACAAACCATCAATATATATATTTGATTCTAAACACAAAACACCATTTACCTTATACAGTGTAAAAAATGCAATCACCAATATGAAGGTCGTACACAAACAACTCTTAGAGAACCGTTTCAACAACCATATGTCTTCTGTTAACACAGAAAATGATCTCCCTGTTGCTAAACACTTTAACCAACCCAGTTGTTGCATTAATGATGTTACTCTCATTGGCATTGAAACAGGATTCAAAACTAAAACCGATAAAGAAATAAAAGAAGTTTATTGGGTCTCTAATCTGAACACTGTTTGACCTTTTGGAATTAATCTAGATCCTGGAATGAGTGATCTCCAATCATTGGTTTCATCTCTGTCAGAAAAATAGTTTTTATTCTTTGCTAATTTCTTTCATTTAGTGTGAACCCTAACTTTCCTAAAACTTACTATTTATTTAAGATAATTTTCCATACCTGTGTATAAATTGATTAGCTTAACATCTCTTTTTCAATCAGTCTCCATGTGTCACTTTTATTTTACTTAAACACTTAAGTACAGTTTTATGTGTATATATATATATATATATATATA